TTTGAAATTCTTTATAACTTAAAAAGAGTATTATTATCTTTTAAACAATACCATATTTTTGTAATTGTACAACATGTTTAAGTATATTGTGGTGAATGTTTAAAATATCGGGTCAAAGTAAAAATTGACAATGTTGACTTCGCTGATTTGAAAGTACCCCGGCTCAGATCCCTACCTGATACTTTGCCAGCTATTTGTGGGCTTTCGCATCTCATTCTCTCTCTAATATCTCCGTTGTTGAAATTCATCACCGAGAGAAAAAAAATTCTCTCTCTTGAAGTAAATTTTTCGATTCGTTTTTCCGAACAAATTATAATAAAATTGAGCAGATTCTTTATAGTAATTTATATACACACACATAAATACTTACATATATAAGTATTTGAGTGGTTGTAAAATCTTTAAATTAGGAGACGTTGATTGAAATTGAAGAGCGCGAGCACTTCTGTTGAAGTAGAATTTTGGATGCGCTAAAGGTTAGCCTGGACATTCGGAAGTGAATTGAGGAACACGTGTACGGAATCGATATCTTTTAACGGCGCTGAATTTCTTAGTGAAGATCTTGTTTTATTTCTGTGAGTTTTGCTAATTTTAGTGTTTTTGCTTTCAAGTTTGAATTAATGCTTTTGTCGGGAAGATATAGTCAATGAATGGCTTGATCTCTCTAACAGGTAAGTTTAAGTCATTGTATGCCAATAACGTTAGAAATTAGGGTTTTAGAATTTTAAACATGAGTGCCGAGATTGTTCTGATCAATTCGCGTTTTGTTGTGACATGACTTCATTTTCAGTGGAAGTGCGGTTAATTGACTGTTCGAACTGTGTGGAGTAAGCGTTTGAAGTAATATATCATGGCGCAGAGCAATTGGGAAGCAGATAAGATGTAAATATTTGTCTGAATAGTTTCTATATTTAGTTAGCTTTTTTTATTTTTTTTTAATATTATTTTTCACTTTTGCTTGTTTTTTTTTTTTCGGGAAAAAGAAACTGAGTCCAACAAAATTTTTTTCTTCATATTTGTGCTATGTCTACTCATTCTTGTTTGAGGAATTAGGAAGAAATATCAATACAGGTTGGCAATAAAAAGTCACACTTTAGTTAAGGTCGCACATTCATGGTGAACTTATAATGAAAAAATCAATTTGGTTGTTTTAGATTAGAGGTTTAAAAATATTGTGGTTAAGAATAAGGGAGAAGTTATTAATCTCATAGAATGTGTGGTTGAAAATAATTTTTGAAAAAAAAAAAATGATTTAGAAAAAATCTGTCCCGATCAAGCGATTTATTATATCAATGATGGACAGACAATAATAAATGTCTAACTTTAGTTCTTCAGCACCATTTATGTCGAACTAATAAGTAAAAAGAAAGAAGTTGGGTTGGTTTTTCTCAGAAGCTGAATTCCTTTGCTTGCCCAACATTTTCCTGACACCGGGACAGAGTTTCCAGTTTTGATCATGTATGTGTCTGAGAGTAAATGTCATGTATAAGGCAATTGCATTATTAATTGATATTTCCGTCGTTACCATTTTGGCCAGGCTTGATGTTTACATTCACGATTATTTGTTGAAAAGAAAATTGCATAATTCTGCAAAAGCTTTCATGACGGAAGGGAAGGTTGCTACAGACCCTGTAGGTAAGAGATTCTTTGAATTTGCATGGTAGATTAAGCTTGATGTTGAACATAGCGAGAAACTTATGATGAGATGCTCTAGAGGGTGTATTTATCATATGGCTTCTATCTGTAGCTATTGATGCACCTGGAGGATTTCTCTTTGAATGGTGGTCTGTCTTTTGGGACATCTTCATTGCACGGACAAATGAGAAACATTCTGAAGCAGCTGCAGCCTACATTGAGGTTTCTGAAATTATTGTTTTTCTTTATAGTGTTGCACATCAATTGACGTATCTTCAAAATGCTGTATTTGTATATGGATTGTGTTTTAACTTGTTTTAATTCATGTTGACATCCATTAGACACAACAAATGAAAGCAAGGGAGAACCAACACCAGCTTCAAATGCAGCACCTGCAACTCATGCAGCAGCGCCAGGGCCAGTTACAACGAAGGGATCCTAATCATCCTCCCATTGGTGGTCCCATGAATTCAATGAATTCTGAAGGAATGATAGGACAACCATCTGCCAGCATGTTGGCTATGAAAATGTATGAAGAACGTATGAAGCACTCGCAGTCTATGGATTCAGAAACATCTCCAGCTCTTATTGATGCTAGGATGGCTCTTCTCAAGTCAGCAACCAATAACCAAGGGTGAGACCGATAGAACGCTCTACAACTCTACATTAAAGTTGTTCAGGCAGAATTTGCTTTGTGATAATACTTTTTCTTCTGGTTGATTCAGCCAATCACTACATGGCAATTCTGTGGGTGTGTCTGCAGCATTGCAGCAAATGCAAGGACGGCCTCAGTTGGTCAATGTAACTACGAAAACCATTTTTTATGGGCACTGAAACAATTGTACCTGCCCACCCCTCTGCACACAAACTTATGCATATATATATACACACACACACACACACACACATATGTATATCCGATCTTTACCTTTTTGATTTGGAATATCCAGGACATTAAAGGGGAAGTTAATTTGGGGGCAACACAAAAATCCTTGCCTATGGATCCCTCATCTGTTTATGGGCAAGCAATTCTTCAGTCGAAATCTGGGCTTGGCGGTGCAGGTAATATCTCTGAACCGCTAACTTCGACTTTGCATGGATTTCCGTTGCCACTCTTGCCAATGAAATATTCACGAGACAAGTGTTGAGTAAAATAACTTGAAAGTTTGGGGTGTGGATTGATAATGATGTGCATAACATACGCCTAAAGCTATAATCCATATAAATATTATGTACTTCATAATCTGTGAATCTAATTTCTATTGGGGGCAACTCTTGGATGCTGTTAATCGAAGTGTACTTACTTCTTGGAACAATTGAAAGTCTTGTGTTTATATTGTCCTTGCACCTACAGCTCTTGTCTTCTCTGTTTTTCACAGTTTTGCCTGCATCGTTATCTTCTGTACAAAGATCACTTGACTGTTCTTGTGATTCTGTATCCTGTTTGGGAAAGTGGGAGGAGTATTTTTGTTCAAGACACAATGGATGTTACTATGTGCTTAATAAAATTCGAGAAGATTTAACCCTGAGGGGTTGCTCAATTGGTCAGGCCTTGGGTTTGCTCCCCAATGGTCATCAGTTCGAGTCCCCTCAGGGCCACTGAGGTGAGTACCCGGCCGTAAATTTCAGGGCCCCGTGGAATTAGTCGAGGTGCGCTCAAGCTGGCTCGGACATTCACGGTTATTAAAAAAAAAGAAAAAAATTAGAGAGGATCGAAACTTGAACTAAGTGGCTGTTTGCTTTAAAACTAGAATGGATACTATTCATTTTCTTGGATGTTGAATTTTCTTTTTAGTTCTGTTGCAAGCCTGGTTTGTTTTAAATCAAGTCCCCAAATTTTTGGATCCAACTAATATTTATCATTTCAAATTCAATTTTTGGTTGCGTCACATTTGCTATTGTTGGTTTGAGAGGTGCAAGTGAATAATACAAGGTCGAATGTGCACAGAATTCTTGCCAACTTTGCTGCCTGAGCAAGACTAGAAGGAAGACTGGATAATTTTGGATGAGAGATGGTTTTGATTCTATTGGCATGTAGTTTTCTCATCTAAGGCTCAAAAGAGGATATAATTTTCTTGGTTTTCCTAGAATTAACCAAACATTGTACTCTGCAGAATTTCTTAAAAGCACATCTTCGAAATATGGCATGAATTGAAGCATCAAAAATGTGTTTAAGCTTTCCTGATATGGATAGAAAAGATACTCTAATTGTTAAATTGATGAGTAATTTCATAATGTTGAGGATTAATTCTTCTGTTGCAAATGGCACGAATAACTTCTAAAGCATCGGAATCGTGTAGAATGATGTGATGTCGAACAACTTGAACATCATACATAGCTCTGCGCATGGTATTGAACATGATGAACTTAATTATATTTGATGCTTAAGTTGAGCAGATTGCCACGTGTGCTTCATTGTTAGCTGTACTAATAATACTTAAATGTCATCCTTCAGATTAATGTATTCATTGGTGAGCTGGAATTCATCTGTTCTGATGACATTTTACTCATTTCCTCCAATCAAAAAATGTTTTTCCCTTTTTGAATCAGTGAACAAATGTATCATGTTAGGTTACTGTTGCATGTACTGTATTGAGAGTCGTCAAATACATTTTTTCCTGTTCTCAGGGTTGAATCAAGGTGTCACTGGTCTTCCGCTGAAGGGTTGGCCTCTAACTGTGAGTTTCTTGTGCTTTGATCCTGACACATGATCTTTCGGCATCATTATATGATGAATTCTTGGCATCTGATACTTATCCTATCATACAGGGCATAGACCAATTACGGCCAAGTTTGGGCTTGCAAGTACAGAAGCCCAATATACAGAACCAAAGTCAGTTTCTTTTGGCATCACAACAACAGCAGGTCCTAGCACAAGCTCAGGCACAAGGCAACGTTGGAAATTCGCCTAACTATGGATTTGGAGGATTACCAAGGGGTAACTTAAATGCAAAGGATGGCCAAGTTGCAAGAAATGATGGATCTATTTGCTCACCTGTGCAGTCAAATTCACCAAAGGTGAAGATTATTTTCTTCAAATTATGAAATTAACTTTTGTTGGCTTGCATTCATTTATGCTGGCTGATAAATGAACACATGCTGTCAAATATTTTTAATTCAAACAGTGGGATTAAATTTCAGTATTTGCTAATTTGCAACTTTTGAAGAGTGCTTTCCGTTATTGGAGTTAATAGGTTCTCTTTCTATACAAGGGAAGGATGATGGGAATGTCAAGTTGCCATTCAATTTAACATAACATTGCATAATATTCACTTTAGGCATATATCTTTTGATGCTGGAACTGGAGTGTAGTACATGAAGATTTTTTTCCTTGTCTTCACTCTTAAGATGATGCAAATTAGGGGTCTGAAGGACAGGACTCCCTGTACAGTTGGCACCTGAGTATGTTACCGCATTCTTATAATATTTGATTTTCACCCCAAACAAACCAAAAAAAAAAAAAAAACCCCCCCCCCCCCCCCCAAAAAACAAAAAAAAAAAAAAAAAAAAGGTAACAAAAACTTAGTTCATGGAAAGAATATCCTAATTTCTCTCACTTCATTCTGCCATATAAGTTAAGAGTCCACTACCTTGTTTGACCATACACAAGGTTTGTTTGGTGTGAATTGTCGATTACGATGTTTAAGTGTCTTGTCTAATAACTTAAACTTTTAGTTTAAGTGGTTCAATATGGTAAATAGTACGCAAAAATGTTGGCTTTAAGTTTTGTCGCTTCCCATTTATTGAAATTGTGCATGTGTTAGATTTGAACACGTGAGGTTGCATGTAGAAAATAATATTTAAATAATATACACAAGATTTTGGATTCACATCTCACCACCATCCATTTAAAGAAATTGTACACTTAGGTGGGCTCTGATTGGGAAAAAAATGAACTCGCCTACGTGTGAGGGGTCAAAGACAATATCTAAATGATATAAATCTTGTCATGTTTAATAGTTTAAGCTTTTAGATCAAGTGGTTTGACATAAGTTAGATTTCCTACTACTTCTATTCAAGCTGTGAAAGGAAGTGTTTACTGTCAGCATGAGTTAACTAGTTTAGACATTTTTTATGTCCTTCGATTTGGTTGCTTGATTCTCATGTAACCATTGATGGCAGGCAAAATATCTTAATATCAGGGAATCAATCGTGAAGTACTCTTTTTTTTTTTTTGAAGCAAAAAATTCTATCATTTTATTAGACTTGTTCAAGCATGTGCAGTTTATTTGCCACTATATTTTTGTTCCAGAATTAGGTTATTACTAGACACGAAGGAAGACAACCATCTCACCACATATACAATAGAACTTGTGTTTATAAGATCATAGATCATGTGTAATTATTCGAAATAGAGAATGAATTGGATATTGTGTCCTCTAGTCTACTAGGACCTAGAATAAGTGAAAACTGTCATATCAACTATTCCTCATTTCACTTATTTAGTTCAATTGAACACATTTTTACGTGAGATTGTGTCATAAACTAGGAAACCCTTCTTGGGCTGGTGTGTTGTGTCTTACATGTGTAGGTTGACATGCTTGGACAACTCGAACACAAAGGAAACTCTTAGAATATTTCTATTGTACTTATAATTTCAGATACGTAAGAGTACAATTATGGTTAATCAATGACATTTATTATCAAACGTGTTTCTAAAAAAAAATGTGGTTATATTTTTTAACAAAGATTTTTTCATGTTTGAGAAGATATAAGAAGGAAAAAAATTGTAACAGTGTAGAGAAAAGCATGGTAATAGAATAATAAGTCCTCTGGTTTAAAAAAAAAAAAACCAGATTGTGTCCCACCCCAGAGTGAGAAGAGCAAAGAACGCCTCAAGGTGCTGATTGTGAAGCAGTTTTTGGAGGTGCACGTCTCTGTTGTATGAGGCACACACCTTAGAACCCTGCCCCAAGGTTTGTAAGGCGTGCACACCTTAATTCTCCAAACATATTTACTTTGCTTTGGTTGTGGATGCACCAAGCACTAAAAACTACCTTCTTTTGGAATAGTACACTTGAGGGTGCCAACTAAAATAATAGTTTTTTTCTTTGGTTATTTATAGATTTTTCTTTTGTTTGTTTGCACGCTTTATATTGTTCTATTATAAATTCCAAAATTGTAAACTTGAGGGGTTGCTTAATTGGTCAAGCCTTGGATTTGCTCCTCAACGGTCACCAGCTCGAGTCCCTTCAGGGCCACTGAAGTGAGTCCGGCCGTAAACTTCAGGGCCCCGTGGGATTAGTTGAGGTGTGCGCAAACTGGTCCGGACATCCACGATTATCAAAAAAAAAAAAAATTCCAAAATTGTTCATGAGCTTATTTTGCATTTTAGTACTTCTTTTGACATATTTTTGGTTTACATCTTGCCGTACGAAGGAAAAATGCTTCAGTATCCAATTACGCATTTTTAAACATTGGCCCCTTGCCATTCAGCTGGCGATGAAGTTCTTCATTAAGTTCCATCTATTATAGTCTTTTCTCTTTTAATGATTACCTTTTGTAATTTAGGTTTAAAGCATTTCACTTTAGTGAGGCAAAGTCAAGCCTCAAGATAAAGTAATGAAATAATTCAAAAGGATATAGAAGTACTAAAATATGCCCATAATTAATTACAAACTATGTTAAAATATCTATAACAAACCAAATTAACAATATTAAAAGTTTAATTTGCTAACAAACATAAAATGAATCAATAAAGAAACAAATAATAAGTCCTCAAATTAGTAATCATGTGAAAAAATCATAATCTGCTACAAATAAAAACAACCTAGAATTTTTCTATATCATCACTTTTTAATTTTTATCTTTTCGTTTAAAGGCAGTGTAAGCCTCAATAAATTGTGGAGTAGCCTTGGAAATGGCATTTAACGCATAAGCTCTGGCACCTTTAATGAAAACCCTAAGAAAGGTATGATTTTAGGCATAAGCCTCAAAAGGTTTCCGCGCTGTTGCATCAACTATTGTTTTTTATCTTTTGCTAATCCATTTACAAAACTATTGACCTAGATGAATTTCCCACCAATGTTTTGGATTCTCTATTTTAAAATTTAAATTACATGTTTTTATTCAATAATTTATTAGCTGTTACAATCTTTGTTTTTTGAAGTTGTGTCATTATGCTCATACTGCTTAGGTAATCTAGGTATCAAACTAGAAAAAGTGCCACTGTTGCAATAAGTAGTTAATAATAGGTGTAGATCATTATTGATTCCTAATTTTTTCCCCAATAAGTAGTTAGTTCTCAAACATTTATTTCTGTGAGAGAATTAGATTTATGAAAATTGAATTAAGAACGTTGATTGCCTGAGAATTAATTGGACGCATTTGTTACATTTTCTCATCAATCATTAGAATGAAAGTGTGCTTGCATTTGTTCTTTGCTTTGATTTTGTGATAAATTCATTGTCTTCTGTCATGCTCAATGTTTTTGTTTTTATCCTATTCTTCTCATACCTATTAAAGGTTTTTTGTCCTCTTTTAGGATTATTTACCCTGCATGGTTAGGATCCCGTGTCAACGGTGTTTTCTCTTTGTTTATAAAATGAAACATTAGGATGACTAATTATAAATTGTGGGAATGCAATATGCTTACTTGGCAAGGTCCTTACTGTATTAAAGAGTATAGCATGGATGATTACGTCATAGTCTTTGATAGGAGGGGTTCTCTCCATACTTCATTTCTATCTTAAGATAATTACTATATTCGAGTTATTTGAAATGCTTGAATAATTGTTGTTGTTTAACAGATGAAGATGGGCCAGATGCAGCAGTCTTCCTCTCAACAACCGGATCAGTTACAGCAGCAGCAGCAAGTGCAACAGGTTTCTCATGCTTACACATATATTAATTTTTCTTAACAACTATATAGTCCGCTTATGAGAAGTGGGCATATTTTTGTTGGATTAGTTTCTGTTCCCATCAGAAACAATTCCATTTGGGTTGTCTGCACCATGCTTTTCATTTCCTTTGCATTTCTCTGTTAAGCTTTTTGGATAATGTGACATGCTGTGTTATAATGAAACAGAATAACAGGAAAAGAAAACAACACTCTTCATCCGGACCTGCCAATAGTACTGGCACTGGGAATACAGTGGGACACTCCCCCAATTCACCACAATCAACACATACACCTGGTGATGGAATGACAACTGCTAGTAGCCTGCAGCATGTCAATAGTGCGCCCAAGAGTATGATGATTTATGGTGCAGAGGGAGCAGGTGGTATTGCATCAACTACGAATCAGCTGGTGAGCCTTGGATGTCCTACTTAATGCCATTACTTGTACGCTTCTATTCAGTTGGTTAGATGGCTCTCTGTTTTTTAGAATCTTAAAAGAGTATCTCTTGATTATCAAACTGGTGTTCATGTATTTGTTGTGGACATTTGATCTCTATGAGCTGATTTTGAAGTAGATTTGAGTATGACATAACATAATTGTCTTATTTATCCTGCATTTATTTTGGAGTTTTGCCCATCAAACTTGTATCCGTTAAAATATTGTCATGGACTTTGGAGTTCTTCTTGATATAACATGACATATTATTTCGGCATTTAATTTGTTTCCCTCATGTCACAGGATGATTTGGACAATTTTAGAGATGTTGGTTCCTTTGATGAGAACGTGGAATCATTTTTGTCGCATGATGGAGATGAAAATATATACAGCACTTTNCATGATGGAGATGGAAATATATACAGCACTTTGAAACAAACTCTTACCGAGCACAAAACAGAGTTGTCCAAAGGTGGTCTCTAATAGCATATTTTCCGTGCCTGGGGGGATTTTTGTTTCCTTGTGCAACTCTAATCATGTCAAGTGTCAATTCACATGCGAAAATTAATTTCAGGTTTTTCGTTTGCGGAGTTTGGGTGTATACGAACGAGAAACAGTGTGACTTCTTGTCATTTTTCTTCGGATGGGAAATTGTTGGCTAGTGCTGGACATGATAAAAAGGTATAAGTCTCGTTCAGATAGCTGAAGATTTTTAGATTGTAACTATCAAATTTGTGTATTGAATATGGTACCGAGGCAGTTCGACTCATCTGTTCAAATTCTATTAGCTGCATTAAGCTGCTATTTGTTTACTAGTATAATATATTTTCTCAGTAACCCAAATCTTTGTGTACTTGTAAACTTTATTTTTTGCTCTGGACAGAAATGGTCTGAAATGTGTTTGTAAATGATTGGAATTTTGTGAGAATTAGCTACGCACAATCCATAATCTATTAGTAGCCCAGAATAATCTGTGGCTATAGATGCCATAATGAAGCGTGAGCAAATTTTATGGCTCTATAGGTAGCCAAGCTATTAAGTTTCATTCCGTTCTTTCAATATATTATTAGAATCCTGCTTAATTTTTGTCTCTTGATTTTAAGTTGTGCTATATCCCGCTATATATTTATTCTATTTGCATCAGGCTGTCTTTTGGAACATGGATACCCTGCAGACAGAGACCACCCCAGAAGAACATCAATCCTTAATTACGGATGTTCGCTTCCGGCCAAATTCTACTCAACTTGCGACAGCTTCATTTGATAAGTCGGTCAGATTGTGGGATGCAGCTAACGTAATGATTTCAAGCTCTTCTCTTTGAATTTGTTTTTCACTATTTGTTATTCAATATGAACCAATATCATTTAATTTCAGGGCCTTGCTTCTGCTCTTTCAGGCAGTAGAATATATGCCCTGTTAAAACTCCATAATATTTATTTGACTAGACAAACCTCTGTATATGTATGTGTGTTTACGGAGTACTATTCCACTTCCATGGGTACTTTATTCAATTCAAATTTACTGATGCAGCCAGGCTATTGTTTGAACGCATACACTGGGCATGCTCACCATGTTATGTCCCTCGATTTTCATCCCAAGAAGAATGATCTTTTTTGCTTCTGTGATAGCAACAATGAAATTCGCTATTCGAATATCAACCAATTCTCGTGCACTCGGATTTCTAAGGTTAGACTTCATAAACCAATCTTGGATTCTTCTTTGAATGTCTTTAATAGGTTCAAATTCCTTCTTAGTTGTCTTTCATTTTTGAAGTTGTTTTATCCATTGCTTGTGTAGCAAGGAGGCAGTGCGCAAGTGAGATTTCAACCAATGATAGGACAGTTACTGGCAGCAGCAACACAGGAAGTGGTCTCCATCTTTGATGTTGAAACTGACAGGCATATGAACTCATTCCAGGTTTGTGTGCATTTGTGGTAGCTTTATATGATCAACAGGTTTAAGTAATTATGCAACAATAGTAATTTTTTTCCTATTTGATGATTACGTTTAATTTTAGACTCGCCTCCCAAAATTTTGTGTTACTAGGGACATTCTGGAGCGGTTAACTACCTTTGCTGGGATCTCAGTGGCGAATTGTTGGCCTCTGTCAGTAAGGACTGTGTTAAAGTTTGGTCCGTATCTTCTGGAGAATGCATTCACGAGCTCAACTCCAATGGGAACCAATTTTATTCTTGTGTTTTTCATCCAAACTATTCAGCTCTTTTGGTGATTGGCACTTCGCAGGTAATTCCTTCTCTTTTATCAGTTCTAGGTAACTATAATCTAATCAGCCTTCTTGACCTGTATTTTACCGGATAATGGATCCACATCATCACTCTTAAGTGATTTCCTTTTTGTGCGATTGTGATAAATGACCTACTTCTAATTGCCTTTGTGCTGGGTATAAAACCACATTGGAGAAAACATATCTTGGTTATAAGATTTTAAACCGGAAATCCCAAGTTTGGACAAGCGTATCTGAATAAAAAGGTATGTATGCTTAAGGATTGATTTTGGATCCAGATAAAGAGGCCCATGGAAAACTTTGGCACGGTGGGTAAGAAAAATAACAGATTATAGATGTTAAAAAATTTCGATGGAAAATATTATGATTGGTATGGACTTCAAATGATTGCATCCCCACAACGTATACTTTTTTTTTTTTTAACAATCTTTTCTACTAGATTTGTTCTTGAGTTGTTGTAATTAGTAGTCCCTAAACAATGTTGTTATTGTAGTCTCTGGAGCTGTGGAACATGGTTGAGAACAAAAGCATGACAGTAATGGCACATGATAACATCGTTGCTGCTTTGGCACAGTCACCAATGACGGGAATGGTTGCCTCAGCAAGTCATGACAGTTCTGTTAAGTTATGGAAATAATTCGATAAGATTGATATTAGCATGGTCGACATTGCCCCTTTGCTAGTTTTCTGGTAATTGCACAGCATAGATTTGTTTTCTTGTTATTTCACAAGAAATGTTGTTATATAATTGTAAGCGTAAGCTTTTAGGGATTTTTGGGTCGAAAATGGGGAGTTTGAGAATATGATGTCCAGATTGATTGGTATTGGTTGCAAATTGAAATTTCCATCTTGTAAAGATGGGATTCGTATTTACTTACGAAATCCACGAAATGTGCTGTTCAATTGGTCTGATTAGTTATCTATTACAAAAGATAATGGGAGTTGATAAGGCGGGTTTGTTTGGCACGACTTTTGCTTGTAAAAAAAATTCACAAGCAATCTTGTGCCAATTTTCTTTTGAAAGGTTTTTTAGCCAGACAATGGACTTTCAAAAAATTATTTAAACATGGTCATAAATAACTTTTTAATTTTAGGAGTAACTTTTGAGTTTTCAAATATTATGCGAAAAAGTACTTTAATTTTGCAAATTGGATGAATAATATCGCCGGAGAAAATCGTCAAGATTTTTGGAAATGTGGCCTCTATGATGACATGAGGTTTATAGAATATTATATTAAATTCAGAAAGTTAAGGGCATGTTCTTTTTGTTATTTTCAGGTCGTTTTCAATTTTCAAAAATACTGAAAACATGTTTTACTTACCTATTTTCAAAGACGAATTTCCAAATACGAGTTTAAAATTTACGAAGAAAATGGAAAATGTGAAAAAAATCGTTTTGGCTGTTTTCAGTTAAAATAAAGTCAAACAATTTTTCAAAATGACGAAAAGGCGGTTTCGATAATCTTGAAATGGATGATGATTAATCTCCTTGCTAGCAATCTTTCTTCTCCCAAAACAAGCCAAGAACAAAAAGAAATGAAAGAGAAAAGAAAAGAAGAAGAAAGAAGAAAGAAGAAGAGATCAAGAGAAAAGAGAGAAAAAAAACTAAACTAAAACTTAACTAAACTAAAAAACTAAAAAAAAACAAAACTAATCTAATTCTCTACCCAAAAAAAACGTCCCCAGCATTTAATATATATAGGATAGATATTTTGGTTGCTTAGTCAAGAAGAAATCAAAATATCCTAGGGAAAATTTCAACTAAAGTCCCCAAACTTTTGGAAAGTGAGCAAAATGGTCCCTAAACTTTGATCTTGTACACTTTAGCCCTTGAATTTTGATTTTCATTTCAATATTGCCATCAATAAATTGCATCTCAATGTCTTCCAACATTCGGCACTTGTGCAACTTGGTCCCCAACTTCACATTTTTGTACATTTTTAGTCATTTTTCTTCATTTTTCTCCTCGTTCTTCTTCCAATCGGGGTTTTAGCCTACAAAAGTGAAAATTACATAATTATGCATAAAAATATACTCTATATTTTCTAATTAAATCCAGAAAGTGCTAAATAAGTGTGTTTTTGCACACTTATCAATGGACACTTACAACAAAAAATTCAAAATGAATTCAAAATTCAAAATTATAACTGAAATATAAAGAAAACCGCCCCTAAGAGTCTTGTCATTTTCAGCATACTACACTTGTCCAAAGTCTTTTGGCTAGTAAAAGAATGTAATTGATGTGGGCTCTCGTATTTCTATAAAACTAGAAAATAAATTCCAATTCGTTCTTCAAAGAATTAAATGTGATTGATTAAGAACTTTCATTTCTCAATTGCTTGAGATATATGGTAAATATGTGGGGTTAAATAGTTTAATTTTCACTTTACTTTCTCGAATTTTTCNATATACTTTATATAGTGTTGTTGTAATATTAATATCTACTTTTTGGTATTTGTATGCATTGAATTAATCTTATTGGACGGCTAGTTATTTATATGTTTTTGAATTGGGCTACGTTAATTTGTAAAAGTTACAAATGAAATGTCATTAGTTGTATTTATGTAGTGTTGCTGAAAATATTGAAAATATTAAAAAATTTAATTATGGTACGGAACCGAACGGAACCGAACCGACTCGAACCGAATGGAATCGAACCCGAACGGTTCCATAATTATATTTGGACCCGACGGGCCCATTTATTAAATACCCGAAAGTTTTGGGTCGGTTCGGGTCTCTTCAGAACCGAACCAAACCGACCCACGGACAGCCCTATCAAAAAGTACTTAAATTTTGCGAATTGGATGAATAATATCGCTGGAGAAAATCGTCAAGATTTTTGGAAATGTGGCCTTTATGATGATATGAGGTTTATAGAATATTATATTAAATTCAGAAAGTTGAGGGCATGTTCTCTTTGTTATTTTCAGGTCGTTTTCAGTTTTCAAAAATACTGAAAACATGTTTTACTTACCTATTTTCAAAGACGAATTTTCAAATACGATTTTAAAATTTACCAAGAAAATGAAAAAAGTCAAAAAAGTCATTTTGGCTGTTTTCAGTTAAAATAAAGTCAAAACTTCATTTTTTTAATTTTTGAAAAAAAAATTTCAAAATGACAAAAAGGCGGTTTCGGTAATCTTGAAATGGATACTTACAACAAAAAATCCAAAATGAATTCAAAATTTAAAATTATAAATTGAAATATAAAGAAAACTGTCCCTAAGAGTCTTTGTCATTTTCAGCATACTAAACTTGTCCAAAGTCTTTTGGCTAGTAAAAGAATGTGATTGATGTCGGCTCTCGTATTTCTATAAAACTAGAAAATAAATTCCAATTCGTTTTTCAAAGAATTAAATGTGATTGATTAATAACTTTCATTTCTCAATTGCTTGAGATATATGGTAAATATGTGGGGTTAAATAGTTTAATTTTCACTTTACTTTCTCGAATTTTTCTTAATCATCATTGAATTCTGAAAGCTATCTGGATTATCATTGAACTTTAGAAGTTTTACGAATTGTCACTAAATTTACCAAATTGTCACTGTCATTTACCAAATTGGTATACGCTTATCAATTTTCTACTTGGAGTAACTTTCTCTTTGTTGTTACTTGACCATGAGAATCGTTCTTAGAAGTATGTAGACCTTGACGCCACTTACTATAACCAAATCGAGTAGAATTTACTCTTAAATAGCCACTTGAAACATGAGTGGGGTTATACATCAAACTGTATTGGATGGAATTAGAGTAGTCTTTCATTATTACATAATGATAGAAACTACGTTAGACCGAAATATTTAGTGAGAAATTGGAAGAAGGAAAATGAAATCTGAATTTAGTGTAAGAATAGGAATTAAGTTCAACTAGACTTCAATTAAATGAATGAATCACGATCGATAATTTTAATTAGGACAACTATGCATAAACTCATACCTAGCCGAGTGGCAACTGAAAGCAAAACCATAAAATAAAATAAAATAAATAAATAAATAATAACAATAATAAAGAAAGAAAGAAAGAAAGAAAGAAAAATTGCTGTACTGTCCTCATCCTATTGTTAATGGAAGTAAATTAATCTATAATTTTAAATTGCAGCAAGTTGGTCATCAACAATTCAATATAAATACACAATCAGTCTCAATAACAAAAATTGTCTAAATTAGTGTTAAATCGTCGTGTGATTGTCATGCATTTAATTTTCTTAAGTTAGATTTTGTTTCACATTTTTGAATGCGCAAGGGACAACATCTTCACCTTCCTCTGACTTATCATTGACCGTCTGCTCAGAATTCCAAACTTAACAATGACTACTAAACATTAGAATTAGCTCATTGTAGATTTTATCCCAACACCTTATGGCACAAGCTGACGGCAGTCATGCACCACTTCTATTCACGTTCTCAAATGCGCCACTCTTTTTCAAAAAGATTCACAACATGTCAAACCCTAGTAAGGTTCTTCACTTTGCCTCGAATTAAACCAAGTTCTCCACCACTTATACGGGGCCTATCAACTCCTATAAATTTCATTCTTGCAAACGTACTCCCCAACGTAATACTTAATGCCTTATCTACAACACTAATCGATACGCACAACACTTAGTATCCATCGTTTGCGACTAGAACTATTGAAATTATACATTTGTCACTCATGTCAATTGTACGACTAACATATTTTCAGAAAAAAATGTGAATGCTATCTTAAATCTTTCATTTTGTTGTAAATTATATCCAAACTCATTTTACCACATACAGTTCCAAACTATCCATTTCATTGTAGGCTTGTAGCAAAAGAACAAATTGACAGATTTCGTCCATTTCCTCGTTAGTTATTACTCGTATATTATTATCTACTACTGCTAACAAACATACATTTCTTCTCGAGTAATACTACTCAACATAAATGATCACCCGTCTAAGTAACAATGCCTTCAAATTCATTGTTTAACGAAATTGTGATTTATTTTAATGCATCAAAATTAAGGAGCCCACTACCAGCTAAACTAGACTTGTAATGAGCAATACTAGTGATGATCACAATTATACAAAGTTCACGTCTCCTTTTCCATTCTTCAATCTATTTTCTTAAATAAGCTGATTTATAAAACTTTCAACCTCCTCAATATTATTCAAGACGAGATTTTTCTTCTGCGGCCTAAGCGACTAAACCCTCTTACTGTAATCCTAAAAGACGTACTTAACAATGCAAGATGCTGCCTACCAACCAAACCATACCAGTGCTTATAAAGTAACAGTTGCTCCTCTATCAACTGCAAGCCGGCATAAAATTTACAAAAATTGTACAGGCCGGTAGATGACCATTTGGACAAATATTATACACAAGATGACTAATATTCACAAAATTCTCACAGCCTTGGGCCATAACAATGACTACTACCCCCAACATAAGGGCAATGATACATGGATGATGATCTATCAAACGAAAAATTCCTTGACTGTGAGCCGGAAAACCAGAAAAGAGGACTAGACTCTGTACACCTACCTCTATCTACAAGTCCTCCAACTTTTGGGCTTGTGCATTTCAGTCCCCAACTTCAGCTTTTTGTCCATTTTTAGTCCATTTTCTTCCTTTTTCGCCTCGTTCTTCTTCCAATCGGGGTTTTAGCCTACAA